ATGAAGATAATTACACCAAAAATTGCTGGGTTTTCCATAATTTTTCGTTTCCACGTTTTTCTACTTTATGTTGCTGGAGCCTTTCAGTAGATTCCTCAAATTTTCAGTAGATTTTAAAATTTTAAGAGTTCTGCAACTATGCCATTGAAAAAAGGTACAATTTTTGCGGCTCAAAAAATTGATGCGGAAATTCGAGACGAAGGGTTAACTTTATTATTAGTTCAAATACATAAGTGACGGAATATTTGTGCTTGGGTTGATTTTGTTATCCAGACAAACTTCAAATTTTAACTTGCCGTTTTAAACTTTTTAATTAGCCGTTCTGGGAAACTTTTCACTGTATTATTTTTTCGTGAAGTTTTGGGGGTTTGAAAATTGCCAAATTGGCAAATTTGGACAATTATTGGGAGAATATTTTTTTGTTTTATAACAGGCAAGCGGCGAAATAATCCAACTCAGAAAACGTTACGATGATAACAATTGGTATATTCATTCTGTTTCTTCCGTTATTGTAGGCTGTATCTCTCTTTTTGTTGAACATATTGCCTGAAGTCATCTTTTTAAAATCATTTCAAACAATTTCCTATTTTATTCAATATGGTTTTATAAACATTAAATGATGCCATAGATGTTCTAAGGCAGTCAGACAATTTGCTGAAGGCGCCTTGGGCGCCAATATAACTCATTTTGAGAAGGGGCACGCGCCAAAAAATGCAAAGAAACGGTCAATTTTTTAAAATGCTCAAAACGTCCTTTTTAGCCTGTTTTTTCTTTTCAAATGAAAAAAAGGTTGTCAAACGTTTCAATTCATCGCCAAGATTATCAAGTTACATCATTCTCGTTTAAATTGTAGAGGGGAGGAAAAACGACATAAAAAAATTGGTTTGGTTCCGATTTAATATTTTTCAGCCAAAACTTTTTTAATAACCAACAAAACTGCTCGTATATCAGAGCAAACCCTGAAAATTCCGACTGCCCTTCAATCCATTAAGAAATAGTTTTTGGGGAAAAATATTGAAAACCTATAAATTTTGACAAAATCAAAGATCAAGTGTATACATTTGAGTAATACAAAATTATTACGACTATTTAGCTAGCCTTAATTCATTTTGGAACGATTTCTTTGTTTGGGATAGTTGGCCACGCATAATAATTCGCGTTACGCTTTCAGCATTATGAATAAAATCTTCAAAACGCGCATAAGTTAGTCCAGAGCATGGACAAATTGGCAATTTTGAAACTCATAGAACTTTGCAAAAAAAATTGGAGCCAAAATATCATCTTAAGTTTGCTATCAGGCAATCGCTATCTTCAATAAGGCATAAAATTTTTTGTTGTAAACGTTTCTTTCGATCGCCTAGAGCTGACCGACTAAAAAACCTCACCAAGCATAATTATTCCGTTTTCTTCGAAAGTCGGAACAACAAAAGGATATATAAACGGCCCACTGTTCCTTTAGTAACCTGAATTCCACGGAATTAGTCAGCGAATTGGTCAAGTCATTACAGCATTCGAGACAACTGCCTCCCACAAATGATCGATGGTGATTTACAGACTACTTAGAAAACCTGATATTAGTTTTTCCTTTCTTAGAATAGTATACAAAAAAACTACTCGTCTTTTAAACAAAATTTAACTCCAATTTTGTGCAGTTTAGCAAAAACAATTGCTCAATTGTATTTAAGAGTCTAACAAATTTTTTTGTTCTATTTTGTATATAAAATTACCTACATGAGGGCCTAGCTGAGATCTTCAGCTTTCCATCGAAACTTTTTGTGTCCAAAAGTTCAAACTGCTTGTGCTATTGACCAAGAGTTTTTGGAATTAAAACACTTATCTGTCGCCCTCTGAATAAAGGGCCAAACGACGTCTTAAAAACAGTTCTTCTGCGATTTTTTTCGACTATTTTAAAAATAAGAAATTCATCTATCATATGTCAAATTTTCAATCGTGAAGCTTTATTAGTGTAATACAGAAAACAGCACAAACGTGAAAACAACTTCGTTCATTTTACTGCTGAAAAACTGAAAGTTGCAACTTTTATGTCTCTTCACTGTGGTCGAAACTTTTATACTTCAAAAGTTGAGTGATTGGTTTCCAATTGCCACGACAAAGAGAATGATGAACAGGCTTAAGCGACAATTTGTCTCAAAACATATCAGAAGTTTTACAGACAGTTTTGTGATGTAACCTGACCGATAAAACATTTTTTCTCAGGGGAATGGGACTTTTTAACAGCAGTAAAACAACGCGGGTCGAAGTGCTCACTTTACATTTCAAATTTCAAAGTCGAGCAAATGTCAGCTCCCGACCGAAAAAAAATAGTCGAGACAGGGGTTTGGGTCGAGCACAAATTTGAAACATACCACCGTCGAAAAATACCTCGAGCACGGTCAAACATACCTCGAACACGATGGAAATATATCTCGAGCATGGTCGAGCACAGTCGAAACATACCTCGAGCACGGTCGAAACATACCTCTATTTTTCCACGGTACTTTGGATTCAAAAAGTTTTTTTTTCAAATATCAAACATTTTAAACATTTTAGACTCAAATTGCAAACCTCTTTTCCAAAAGGTGGAACAAATAGCTCAAAAAATAGCTCGTCTCTACAAAACTTTCAAATTTCCAATAACTTTAATTATTCCATTTTAACAAAAAAAAGCATCATAAGATGTTACCCGAGTTAAAACTACAACGTTTAATTTTGGATAACTCATGTTGTTTGGAAGTCAAAGCATACCCGAACTTGGTCGAGCACCGTCGAGCTATTTTTTTTCGGTCGAGCGCCGTCTAAGCATATTTTGCATGGGTCGAAAACGGTCGAGCACATTTGTTTTGGTCGACCAATGGTCAAAAAATAACGAAATTTTGTCGAGACGGTCAAAATATACCGAATATAGGTCGTCCACGGTCAAAAAAACACCGATTTTTTGTCGAAATGCTTAAAGCATTCCAATTTTTGGTCAAGCACGGTGAAAATAAATTGACTTTTACTCTAAACGATTTTTGGTCGCGACGGTCGAAACATAAAATGAGCACCTCCACCTGGGAAAAATGGGCTCTCTGATTCAACCTCTCTTAAATTTACTGATCATAGAGATGTCTTAGTTATCCCATACTGCCTGTCATCATAATCAATAAAGTGTGAAACAACTTAATGGGAAATAATTAAACAATACCTGAAAAAGCCAACCAAGACAACTAATTTTACAATTTTTCGCTAAAACGAGCTTGAGATTGAAAGTTAGCTGATTTTTTTTGCTGCTTGGAGAACAAGCCCTCTGTTTCTAGCCAAATTTGGCCCCAAATTGTACCGCTGCTGGAATCCATATAAATATTTGGTTTGCAACGTCGAATTAGCCCCAAATTTACACATAAAAATTTGATTTCGAACAAAGATTGCTTTCAAAGGGTACCTGTTTCTCAGACAGTAGAAGAAGCTCATTTTTTCTACTCTGTATCAATCGGTTTTACTTATAAACGAAAAAATTTACAACAGTCGGAATTTTTCATTCGTTTTTTCTTAAAAAAAACTGGCTGACATAAGAAAATAATGAGTTTTGACTGAAAAACTCAAATCAGTACTTAATTTTATCTATGCTTATTCCAATTGACTCACCATAATTGCCCAGGTCAAACGATGCAATTTGATTCTATTTACGTTGTTGCTCATTAGTCATCAACTTTTGAGTCCGGGATAAAAGAAACAATACAACTTGTATCAGGGCAAAGCCTTGAAGGTTTCGACTGCCTTTTAAGGTAAAGAGTAAAATTACTTCCTAAAAAAATTGAAAACAGTTTCAAATACAGAGAAAAATTTTAACATTTTTCAAAAGCTTTCATCCTCAAATCATCCCGCACACGCTATGCAAAGTACAAAATGACATAAGCGAACGACAAAGAGACGGGTCTGATCTGGACAGTGAACTTAATAACGAGCAAAACAAACAAAATGAAGGCGTTTTGGCTGGTTACTGAAAAAATAGGCATTAAACGAATAATTGTTTCAAACCTCAAATCAAACAAGACTGCTCGTATCAGGGCGAAGCCCTGAATGTTCCGACTGCCTTTTAAGGTTTATTGAGCAGCAGTAATAGCATTAAAAAATTGAATGAAATAAAATAAAATGAAATTTTTTTTTAATTTGAAACTTTTTATGAAAATCATCTCCCCACACGCCATATAGAGTACAAAAAGAGAGATTTCGTTCCTTGTAACAAATCAATTATGGCAAATAAATTTCGTTCAGCCAATTTGGAACGATTTATAAGACGGATTAAATCTCCTCTTACGCGTTAATAGCGCGAATCATATCGCGCGTTAATTGTCCCAAATTGCTCAAAATGGCCAAAATGGCAATCTTTAAACCCTCATAACTTTACGCAAAATGATCACAGGTGAATTATCTTTTCAAATTTAAGCTCAGGACAACAATGGCTTTCGAATGATATTAAAAAATTCCGTCAAAAATGGCTAGTAAAAAGTCAAAATTTGTCTGAAGAAAAAAAACTACTTATCTGTCACTACTTATCTGTCACTACTTATCTGTCACTACTTAGTGACTAAAAAACTCTGTCACCGCTTATCAAATGGTATAAAAATGTTCAAATGTAGCTAGTTAAAAAGTCGAAACTGACAATGAGAAGAAAACCGCGAGCACAAATATTTCATCAAAAACCTTATACTCATGCATTTGAATTGCTGTTATTTTATATTCTAAGTGACTAGATTTTGACTTTTCTAAATTATATAAAATTCAACCTAAGATCTGTGACATCAAATTTTATAATTGCTTAAGAACGCCACCAGTTGGAACGACTCGGCAGTTTTCAAAGCATGAAATTTAATTTGCAAAAAAAAACGATTTTGCTTAGAAGTCAGGGCGAATTCCAGGCGTATCTGACATGATTTTAAACTACCAGGCAGTATTTAAATGAGAAATATAAGAGTCGTTTTCCTTTAACTGAGTGATTTCTGAGAACATTTTGATTTCAGTGAGTTGGAAGTTTGGCTTCATCGTGTGTGACGTGTGGCGAACTATGGATGTGATGTGCTGCACTGCCAGCATTCTCCATCTGTGCGCAATTGCACTTGACAGGTTACTTCTCATTCTGCAAACTGGTTCAAATCTTAGTCTGTCTTGAAGGAACAAAAGAGCAAAAACCGCAGTTTGAAAAGCCTCAAAACGAAAAAAAAAAAACGCTAGAAAACCGCTCCCACCGCTTATTTCAAGAAATTAAGCAAAACCTAATCTACAAAGTGTAAAAGAAGTGGGCAGAATGTTTTTGATCTTAATGTTTTTGGGTTGATATTACTTTCTTGGAAGTTCTATTTGAAAATTTGAAACCAATGCAGAATTTTTTTTTAATTTAGTTTGATAAATGGGAAAAATATCATTTTTTTTGGCCAGAAAGATTTTGAGACCGATTTACTGGGCTTGTGTATAAAAAGCCACGTGTATCAACAGGTATCAGGAGACTGTCGGATTTGCGAAATATTTTGGTGCTCAGAATAGGTTTATTTATCAGAATACATAGAATTTTTCTGGTCTTAATTCTGACATGCAATTTTCATACTATGGCCCAATAATTTCATATATTTAAAAAATTGCATGAAAACTTGATGACTGGCATTCTCCGATATATGAGAATTAGACGACTAGTGTTTTCCAATAAATTGTCTGGTTCATGAATGTGAATTGAATGACTAAAGACACTTTAAAAACATGAGTTTTGCTTTAAGTTTTTGCGTTTGTCCTGGAACACTATACCCAAAGATATTCTCACATGAGAACAATCCGTATTTTAAGAAGAAAAATCTATGCAAAAATCTTACAAATAATCTGCATTGGAAGACACGCCATCTAAGTTGACTTATAGAAGATCATATGAAACTATAATAAAAAACGTAACTTGGCAAGCTTCTACTTAAAACAACTCCGTGTTTGGAAATTGTGGCCTCGTTTTTTGACCAATTTTTTTTTACAGATTTTATCTTACAAAAAACAAAACGAAAGATATTTCCGACTTTTACGCAGTACTTTTTTGTAATTTTTGTTTACAATGTCTGTTTACAATTAAAAATTACAAATTACAATTATATCACCGAACAGTTTTTTATGAAGAATGTCAGTCTTCATATACGATTATAAAAATCCATGATGAAAGAATGCTACTCATACAATGAGAAACTTTTGAGAAGTTTTTGCGTAGCATTTTCAAGAGGAATAGTTACATAATTATATGGCGTTAGAACTTCAAACACGAGACCTTGTTTTAATATACCATTCCAATTCAAGACGGTTCTCGGTTCAAGGTAGATAACTGGCTCTAATTTTATACATAATCCTACCCTTTGTTGGCAAGCTCGTAACTCGAGGATGCGACTGCGTCTATCATTCTAGCTCGGTCAATAAAACATCGTCTCAGCGAACAATAGTAATGGGTTCTTTGCCCAAACTATTAAAAAATGTTCTGATATTAGCAACACTTTTGGTTTTTCCGATGTTCTACACATCGGATGTTTGCTTGGTGCCCCAACATAAATTAGACTGCTCCGTATCAGGAAGAAGCCCTGAATGTTCCGACTGCCTTTTAAGATCTATGGAGCAGTAATAACATGAAAAAAATATATAAAAAAGAGATTTTTCTAATTTGAGAATTTTTTTTGTGAAAATCATCCCCCCACATGCCATATAAAGTACAACGTGATAGATTTCGCTCCTAGTAACAAACCAATTCTGGCAAATAAACTTCCTTCAACAATTGTGGCAAATAAGCTTCCTTCAACAATTGTGGCAAATAAGCTTCCTTCAACCAATTATGGCAAATAAGCTTCCTTCAACCAATTTGGAGGGATTTATGAGACGGATTTAATCTCCGCCTACGCGTTAATTGCGCAAAACATATTGCGAGCTAATTGTCTCAAATTGGCCAAAATGGCAATCGTTAAACTCCCATAACTTTACGAAAAAAGATCACAAGTATATTATCTTTTCAAATTTAAGCTCAAAACAACAATACTTTTCGAATGATATAAAAATTTTTGTCAAAAATGGCTAGTTAAAAAATCGAAAATTGTCTGAAGAATAAAAACCCACCCCCCCCCCCCCCCCCCACCCCGATCACAAGTATTCCGGTACTTTCGTTACAAAAGTCGGAACAATAATATTTTGGACGCTAAAAATTTCGTTTCTCGCATCGAGTATTGCTTAAGCCATGAGAATAGATAAATAGATATAAAACGCGCATAAGTTAATCCTGCATAAGTTTGTTACCCTATTTCTGAATTAGATCATTTCTAAACCAACGAAGTTTTTCAAAAAATGGTTGCATGTTGCAGAAAAATGGTTGTTGAGAAAAAATTATTAATTCTGAGCTGTTTTTACAGTTCATCCTAATTTTTGTATAATTATTATCAAGGGGCAGCATACACGAGTCTGCGGTGAAGACAAATTTTGTCGGCTCAAGAGCAATTTAATTGAATTTGAGCTCTGAATTAGCTGAATAGGAATTTGGGGTCTTTCTAAAAGCTAACAACTTCCTTGAATTTTTTTTCAGACAGACTTCAGGCGGGTCATTTGGGGATGTTGTGTTGAACGCATCTCCGATTTTATATAATTGAATGAATAAATTTGGTCTAATTTGATTCAAAATAGATACCAAGGGACCCATTGAATGAAAACAAATCAGACTAATGAACAAAACTATTTATCCAATGCGCCATTGAAATCTCTTCAAATTCATCGCCTAGTTGGGCACCGCAACACAAAAAATTAACTTCAAAATGAGCAAAAAACATCCATTGACATTGAGCTTTTATCAAAATTCAAAAATTTATTTATCATAACTAGATTATACTAGTCGATAAAAGGAAACGAGATAATAACTAAAATCAAATCACAATTTCTTGGCTTTTTTCGTCGTCTAGTAAGGTAATCATATAATGAGCAAACAAACCCGCCTGTTGTCGAAATTTAATAGATTGGACTATTGTCCATAATAAGTGGATTATAACCCTTTGAAAAAACTACATCCATCGAAAAAATTCTCCACACTCTTCAAGGCATCGTGCCATTCTATACCACAAAATATTGATTTTTATCGAAAAATTGAAAACAAACAGGTAATAGATATCAAGGAACCAATTTTCAAAAAATTCTCTGGAAATGGACCAACTGAAAAAATCCAGAAACAGTTTACAAAATTGAGAAACAATAACTTATCCAAAGGTATCAAAACAAATACTGATGTGATTTTACTTGAAGATTTCGCTTATTTTAAGTTTTTGTATCAGCAATTGTCGTTTATTAAAAAAGGAAAAATAAACACTTAAGCGGACATTTAAGCACGACACTTAAACGGACACTTAAGCGGACACAAATGAAAAATAGCACATTTAATATCTTTTTGCTTGCTCGTTACTTATCACCCTAGCTCTCCGCGCTGCCTTCCGGTGAAAACTAAATTGAAACCAATTTAAATGCGAACTCGAAGGAAGCGTTGTTGGGGGAATAAATTTCCCTCGGCTTGTTATGTGACAGTGAATGGAACTAGTGACAGGAAATGGTAACACTATTACCACGCCCTTTCCCTCCCTCGAGGGAGCGAAGTTTAAATTAAAACAGCTATTTGCTGATGAAAAAGTCCAATGGAAGGAAGCGGTTGAGAATAATGAGCGGACATAAAAACGACAACAAAAAAAACTTTTTTTCCGAGCATTGAATTTTTGAACGCACGGAAAAGAGAATTGGAAAAAAATAATCCTGCTTCGCTGAGCCTTTTTATCTCAAGCCTAAACTGGGAAAAGAGATATAAAGAAAGATTTTAACTTGGTCTAGTTAGAATGAGAATTTTAATTTATGACAATTATGTCACAGAGTTTGGCCTACTAATTGGCAATTTGTAGTTTTCGAGTCAATGTGTGAAGCAAAGAATTTAAGTTTATATTAAATCCAGTGGCGGATCCAGAATTTTTTCGAGGGGGTGGGGCGGATTTTTAAAAAATTTTCGAAAATTTTGACGTACTGTTTTTTTAGGTCCACCGAATTGATTTTTTGAGCACTAAAAAGGCGCTGTTTTGGCCAAATTTTCTGCGCCGCAGGCAAACTTTCGAAAAAGCAGGTCGAAAAAGCCGTTTTTGGGCCCTTTTTGGAAAATTTTGACAAAAAGATTGTGCATTTTTTTGGCCCGCGCTACCCCTCATAGTTAGTATATATTGGCGCCTAAGGCACCTTTAGAAAAATTTTTGAGTCGGTCGGCCAAAAACGGATTTCTTAAAAAGTATCAAAAAGGCGTCCCCCCAACCCCCCCCCCCCATCCCTGAATAGGCCTTTGATAATTTTTCTACTTTTGTCAAAATTAGCCCTGACTTTTCTGCCTGCTCTTAAACTAGTTCCAATTTTTAGTCAATAAAGAAGTTAATGAACGTTTGAATGGAAAAATAAAACTTTACTGGATAAAAAAGGAAAACAGATAGTTTGCTTCAATTGAAATGTGGGATGATTATTTGACCAGGTGCAATCCGGCGCTAAAGCATTGCACATTGCAGATAACTGGGCATAAACCGCCAATTAATCTACCCATATTGCATCTGAAGTGCTTTTATTATATGTTTTTTGTAGGCGTTGATTTAAGTAAGAAACGAGAAAAAAAATTCAAAATTTTTCAAATCAATTCAAATTTATAGCGCATTTGTTTTTAACTTTTTCACCAGTAGAGTTGTTTCATGATGCAAATTTTAAGTTTTTTAACAAATAAAATATCTGCACATTGCTTTAATTTCATGATTTTCTTGGCAAATTTATTTTTCACTTACCGTGGGAACCTATCAATTATTATGAAAAAATTTTGTTGCTAAAATGTTTTGACCAGCTACGTTTTAATTTGGATCTGTGAGCTAACTTGTTTTCAAAAAGAAGATTTGACGTCCCAGCTTTCCAAAAAATAATTGTTCTAAGTCTCGAAGAAAAGGTTGAATAATCGCGCTGTGTTTTTCTTTCATATCAATATCCACCATTTACGAATTTGTTATACTATCTAAATTGTACCGGCAGCCTGCACTCAAACAATACAATTTTCTTTTTAAAATTTTTATTACCCAACGTGAAATTTAAATTTCAATACTTCACATATAAAAACATATTCACAGTACCAAATTGTTTGCTTTGTTTTCATATCGGAATGATTAGTCAAAATCGTCAAAGTAGTCCCAAACTCTAACTTCTATAACTTTGCGGTCAATTAATGCCGCAGGTCAAGTTTACTTTTTTAAATTTTGAGCCCCGGGTAGCAAGATTTATCACGCTGTATAAAAACTCTGCTATAAAAAATTCTAATTTAAACGTCGGTTTTTATATGGAGAAAAAATCTAACCCAAGCACAAATAATTTTACATTTTCTTCTCAGAAAGCTGGAGCAAAAAACCAAACTTTTTATTCTATTTTTTAGTGTGAGTGATATGAAGAACTACCAAATTTCATCCAATCTCCGCTTTAAATAGATGTGAAAACCGAAAATATATACTTGTTTTTATTGTGGTTGAGAGATGTTTTTGGAGTTTTAAAAAGGCTCAATACACGATTGAGAGAATATCAGAAAGATAAACCACTCGAACTCCAACGAACGAAGTTTCTTTGTGGTAATTGATTTTCCTGGTCAACGGCACGCCCAAAAACATGTTCCCTCAGTGGCTGATCTAAGATTTTCTCGAGAGGGGGGTGGCGGATTTTCATAAAACTTTCAAAAATTTTGACTGCATTTTTTTAGGTCGGTCAAATTGATTTTCCAAGCTCTCCTAAAGCGCTAAAAAAGATAATTTTTTAGCCAAACTTTCTGCGCCGCAGGCAAATTTTTGAAAAAACAGGTCAAAAAAGCCGTTTTTGAGCACTTTTTGGAAAATTTTGTACCCAAAAATTTGTGCCCCCCCCCCTTAAATCCGCCCCTGTTCTATCTCATTACTTGATCTGAAAAAAATATTTAAGTCTCATCTAAACAAAAATGATAATCGGATCAGCAACTGTTTTCAAGGATGATTCTTGATGTGTTGTTGATAGTCGCATGGGTTGGAGAGAACTAAACCTGGTGCGATTATTTTGCCTTCTCAGATAAACTTGACCAGCAAAAGAAGGTTTGCCATGGTACTAGTTACCGGTATCCATTTGGACCGACCAACCATTGTGTTGCTTTAGCCTCAATTTAAATCCTTAATGAATGAAAATTTGTATTTTAGATACTGGGCAATAACAGAGCCTTTCACTTACTCAGTCAGAAGAAACAAAAGGTTAATGTCAATCATAATCGCCATCGTCTGGATCTCAAGTCTCATCATCTCACTGCCCCCTGTCACAATCTGGTACGGTGAAGGTCACGGCATGGACGGACTAGGGTGTGAACTAATTGTAGATCCAGTTTACATTATTTACTCAGCAGTTGGATCTTTCTACGGCCCGCTTGCGGCCATGTTTGTAATTTACGCGCGTATTTATCATGTCGCGGCTGAAAGACTTCGCGCCAAATCCGAGCGAAGGTCGACATATTCGTCCCCGGGAACAAGCCAATATCAGTTAAAAAGGATAAACAAACAGACTGAAATTCGAGAAATGAAAACAAAAATGAGTGAACATTCGATGCACTCGAAACCAACAAATAGTACTCTTCAAGTTCCTACTTTGACCCGGGCTTCAGTTTCGGTTACCAATAATTCGGAGCATGCAAGTTCAAAAGGAGGCGACAGAAGTCAACACAAATCTTCTTTTTTGACGTTGGATATTCCAACCCGGGACGATGCGACAATTAATAATCAAGTGGTCGGCGCTTGTCCTCCGTCGCCGTCACGTGGCCGAATCAGAAAACCTTTGATAAGTGTGACAGTCGAACGAAAAGCAGCGAACACTCTGGGTGTAATTCTGGGCTGTTTTGTCCTATCTTGGCTCCCATTTTTCACCCTTTACATAATGTCCCCGTTTGTTGACGCAATTCAAAACTTACCATATTTGGTAACAAGCTTGGTAACTTGGATGGGATATTTCAACTCGATGGCGAATCCGATCATCTACACGATTTTCAACCCCGATTTTAGAAAAGCTTTTTCGAAGATTTTTAAGTGCTTGGATACGACTCCCCAATATCAAGTAGCAGTTCCGTTGAAGAACAAATCGAAACCTGCTCTGCACGTTACATCAGATGACCGATCGGTAGCTTCATTTGGTGTTTAAATTTGCATCTATTTAAATCACAAAAACTATCATTTCAATTTGATAAACGTACAAGTTGCAGGGCCTATCAAAAATTAAGCAAAACGTTGATTTTGAAATGGAAAAATTATACACAAATTATTAGGTTAAGTAAAGAACAAGAAGCCCTGAACGCTCATTTTATACTCAGAAATTTATCTGAATTAGTTTTTGGGGAAAAATCGATTAAAATAGCAGCTCTTTCTTCCGATCAGAGCAAGTTATAAATATATGATCATCTCCATATTAGATCAAAATTGTTTAGCTGTGATTTACCTCTCGATTCTGACTGCTGAAGTCAAAAGCGCTTTATAACAAAGACGAAATTGATCTCAAATAAAAAAAATACCTAAAACCTATCTTCAAACAGTTTTCAAGCCTTCATAAATCAACAACAAAAAATGATTGCAAGTTATAATATATATTTAGATTCTGAGCAAAAAAAAACTCGATAACTCGAGCAAAACATATAATTAAGAAGATTTTGAAATATTTCTCTGTTTTGCGCAAGATATCTTTTTTTACAAAACCTGGATAAGGATATAACAAAAATTGGGCCCTGTTTCGTGTATTGTTGCTTTGGATGTTTCATTTATCTGAACTTTGTAAAAAAAAAGTGTTCACCCTGTCTTCTAGATCGAGTTCCTTTAGTTCACTTCACTACCAGTTCTCTATTTGTACTCAAAGTTGTTTAGTAGTTGAATTTGAATTTAAATTTAGTATTAATTTTTAAACAAATTTGGAAGCACCGAGCTTAACTTTATATATAAATTTGCAAAAAATATTCATAGAAAAGCTAATTTTGCTGAAATAATCTAAATAAATCCCTGCCAAAAATGATTCAATTTCAAATGAAAGGCACTTTAATTTAAGACCGCTGATAACAGATTGGATTGCACAATTCGAATAGCAATTAAAATGTATATGTACTTTTTTGCTAAATTTTCGAAAGCATCGTATCAAATTTTTTTTCTTTGAATTTAATTTTTCTCGACACTGTGAATTCTGAAGTGACTCCACAGTTGGTTTGAATTGGGGAAACTTTTCCCACACTTTTTGCAGCCGAAACTTTTTTCACTTCCGTGCAGTTTTTGGTGCGAACAGAGAGAAGAAAAACGGGAAAAGTCTTTTCGGCACAGTTCACAGTAGAAGTCACGTGCTCCGGTGTGGATGGTCACGTGGGCTTCCAAGTGAGCCTTCCGTGTGAATGCTTTGTCACAAGAATCACATTGGTATGGTCGCAGACCTGAAAACGAATAAGAAAATTGCGATATTTTCTTTTGTAAAAAGGACGCTTAAGAATGTACATAGACTGTGAGCTATAGACAAAAATTTTATCAACTTTAATGAAAAATAGTTTCCCTTTTTAAAGCTTCTGAAACATGACAATTTCTAGCGGCATTGTCATGTTTCAAAAGCTTTAAAAAAGGGCATCTTTTTTTCAGAGAAGTTGATAAAAATTTGACTCACCAATTGCACCGGCTCTGTAGTTTTTGTTTTTCCTGTAGAAAACAACGTGAGTTTTTGGAATTGAGAAAACTGAATAACATTTGAAAAGTGTTCCACAAATTGGAAACCTCGAAAAGTCACGGCTGCGTTCAAAATTCACGGCGACATTTCCTTTTGAATATTTCATGAAGAAGAACCGAATGAAAGACTTATTGGCAATCTTATTTAGAAGTCAAAAATCTGACAGCTTAAAGGACATTGACCGGTCAAGAAAATTTCCGTATTCGATTTTTCGGCTTTTGAAAAAGGGGTATATGAAACAAAGTTCACAACTAAATCACCAAAGAAAATTGATCACACCTCAAAAGTTTTCTTATGTCTGATGAAAGAGTAGCAATGGTAATTATTGTGGCTCTTCTTCCTTTATTATTTTAAAATAATTAGATTCAGTGTTAGATTAAAAGTAAAAAAATGTGGGCAAACTGCAAGCAAATTTGTTTACCTTTTTGTAAGGGAAACTTACAAAGTCTATGTCACAAACAGTAGCAAACGCCCCCCCCCTTTCAGGGATTCGACCCCATGCCGACCCAAAGGGACCCCGATTTGTATTATTTTGAGATAACGATTTTTGGTGAGCTCCCTATAATTGTGCATTCTGTGCATTGTATGCCGATTCCAGATCATGCCAAAATCAGCTTTGTTGCGGAATCCACATCATTGCTACTTTTCTTTGATCTTCTGTGCTGTCTTGGATTCCACAAACAAATAGTCAAAACACTGTTGCGCTCAAAATCGCTTCAAAAATAGACGAATTTGCGGAATCCGCAACCGTATTTGCGGAATCCAGAACAGTTTGTGGAGTTCACAAACAAACAAAAAGACATGTGTATAGTTAAATTGAGCTGTTGCGGAATGCGCAACCCTAAGCGGAATCCACAAAGTGTAAATGGAACCCGCTAATTGTAAGTGGAATCCGCATTTTGTTTGCGGATTCCATTTACAAATATGTATAATTTAGTAGCATTTAAAATTATATCTTTTAATTACATGATTTGATTTCACTAGAATAGGAATTTACTAGATCAGTGTTTGGGATTATTGGAATCCCAACTACTGACCAGTTTTTGGGATCGATGAAACCCCAAATACTGAACTAATTCGACGTTTTGCTATGACGTTGGGTTTCTAATCCCTCTCAACCTTATGACTCCAAATAATGAATTTATTCCATATTTATTCCATATTATTCCAGTTTTTGGGATTCCATCAATCCCAAATACTGACCAGTATTTGGGATCGATAGAATCCCAAATACCGACCTAATTTGGCGATATGCTGCGTGGCTTTGTGTTTTCTTTCCATACACACTCAACCCAATGACTACAATTACTGAATTTATTCGGCGTTATGCTTCCAAAATCAGTATTTGGGGATGGCGCAACCCCAAATACTGACTTAATTTGGTGACGTGCTGTGTGTTGTATTTCTATACACTCTCAACTCAATGACTCCAATTATTGAAATTATTCGGTGTTTTGTTTCCAAAATACTAAAAGATGAGATCCACCGATTTAGGTAACCAATGTTTTAAGACTTGTTCGTGGATTCCGCTGGCAATGTTTAAGTCCTTGCTTTTAAATTCCGCATTACTAGAGATAAGAATTCCAGCTCTAGTTTTTAATTGTTCATATGCAAGTTCAATGTTGAACAAAATTTGGAATCCACTTGCGGATTCCGTTTAAATTTTGCGGAATTCACTTACAGTTGCGGAATCCGAAACAACTAGCTATATCCGCTTGTTGCGGAATCCGCGACACAACAAATGTGCCGACAAAAATTGCGTTACATTCACATGTACGCGGAATCCACAGAAGTTTTTTTAGCGGAATCCACTTACATTTTGGAACATGTTTAAGGATTAGTTTTTGGAATCCAGGAACATACAGACACAAAATTGTGCGCCTATCCAGTGCAGAGTTTGGCCTCGTAATGGAGAAGTCAAGTTCATCAGAGAGTAAACAAAATTAAGTATCACGAGAAGTCAAGTTTTTCAGAGAGTAAACAAAATTAAGTACAAGGAAGAGTCAAGTTCATCAGAGAGTAATCAAAATGAAGTACCATGAGAAGTCATGAGCAGTAACTTTTACCTGTGTGGCACACCATGTGTTGCCTGAGGGGTCCCCTCTGGTTGAATCTCCGACCACAGATGTCGCACTGGTACCTCCTCAGCCCCCGGTGGATCTGCATGTGCTGCCTCACCGTCCCCTGTTGCGTGAACCTAATAAGACACACCACACGAAACAATTAGTTCAAGCTAAAAAAAAGTCACCCTTTACTGTTATATAAATGTAATATTTTGTTTGAATTACAGTAAGACTAGAAAACTCATTAAGCTTTGACTTAAGCATGATATAGAGCGTATAAATCAGCAAACACCTGAAGCTCAATGTTTTTTTAATCTTTCATCAAAGTTTCATTTTTGATTTTATTTTTCTCTTTTCAACCCAGTGCCATGAGAGAGATTATCAATTTTATTTTGAGTTTCTTTGTGCGAAGAGCTTCTGTTTGTCTTCTTTGTTAACAAAAAGTCGATTTATTTTGGCCGGAAATTTACCCTAATACCATAGGTTGAGTTAATTTTTCGAAAAAACTCAATGTGTTGCCTGAGGTTATCTGCTTTTCATGTGATCATCGTGTAGACAGTGTACCTTTTGCCGCATATTTCACATGAAAAGGGCTTCAGCTCTTCATGCATCATCTGATGTCTTGCTAGACTCTCTTCATCCTGAAAGCCTTCCTTGCACACACGACAAAGGAACGTCACGCAATCATTTCCAGAATGTTCTAGAACTTTCTGCTGTCGATCATCACTTGACGATTGAAAGAGAGGTGGTTTTGTAATCTTCAGATTTTCAGTTTGTGTTCGTTTCTGCAGTCCGGTGCCAAATTCTTGAATAATACAAGTCAATCAAAACAACCAAAACATGATTTTTTTTCTGTTTTTCCACCATGCGCCAATCATTTGCAATGCGGGTACAAAAATTTTAAAAAAAATTATACTAAAGTAGAGGGAAAATTTCTTTGCTTCATTTTTCAACAAAATGCTCAAACTGGCCGGCAAAAAAAAACGATATCCTCAATATGCAAATTATCACTTGTCAGAAAAACATTTACCTTCATGAAAAGCAGATTGAGCGATGAGAGTTTCTTTTCCAGTTTTCTCGATTGGTTCGAGCGTGCCATCTTTCTCATCTTCATTTGAGCCAGTTAGTTGTTTGATTAGTTTGTCAACACTTTCGGACCAGGTGTTCTGAAGTTCCATATGCTGCAGCACAGGTAGTCTAAAACAGATCGGGAAAATGTAATTTTGAATGCCTATTTTGTATGTTCTATCTACAAGTAAACAGTGCCAATTATATCTGGGTTTGACAATGGTCTGGCTTTGGAATTGATTTACGGTGATTGTAAAATTATTGGTGTTTTGCTGTGGTTCGTTCGGGAAAACTTCTGCGAGTTTTGCTGTGATTTGGGAATAAACATCTTTTACTCAAAATTTGAAGTCCTATTTTCTCGTCGTAATAACGCACTAGTCAGTAAATTCTAAAAAAATATTTCAGGTTTAAAAAACCATTTGTACAGTTCTGCAACGAATATAACTCCTTATTTTCAAGGATTGCAACGTACTTTATATCTCCAAATGAGCCAGCATCTTGTCCATTAGTAGCTTCAAACGGCAACAGTCCAGACTTCAAAATCTGAGCCAGCGGAGATTCGGTCAAACTTGGAATTGGCCGCAAGTGTGCCAAATTAGCCAATGGAAAGGATTGAAGAGTCGAATGAGCTCTTAAGATTTGCAGATAATTTTCAAAAAATGACCTCTGATTTTCAGCGTTCAAGTTTGTGGCCAAACAGTTTTGTATTAGATTCGAAGCAAATAGCATAGATTTTTGCAGCTCATTATTGGCTAATGAGTTGGTAAGATTAGGAATCAAAAAACTAGATGGAAAAATTTGATCAATTTTAGAAAACTGTGGCTTGTTTTGAGACATTTTGAAAAATTTTGAGCGACCTCTTAATCAAGTGACTGATTTGAAAATGGCAAGTTATGAGGTCAGTTAACTTAATGGACACAATTAACTAATGATGAGTAATTATAAGTTTATCACTTAAGGCGAAAACAGGAAGTAGCGGTCATCAATTTCAACATTGGTCAGTTAGTTTCGAACAATGAATTGAGAAGGATCCAAAGACTCTTCAAAAAGAATCTTTGTTTCTCCAAGATGAAACAAGGTTTCTGCTTCTAAGTTATTTAAAGACAGTTCTCAGACGTGTCTGTTCAAAATCAGATGTTAAAATTTACGATCCTAACCTGAAACCTGACAAAACCACCAAAATAGCAATAAGAAAAAACTTTTGCGGATATAGTTGTAAATTCACCCTCTAAGTCAACAAGTTTCAGCTCATCTTGATCTTTGATTTAGCTTCTTTTGGTCGTTTCAAGCAGGAAGCAAACCTATTTCAAACCTATTTGTAAACTTTCAGTAATCAGATCATCTTCTTTTACTTGGTTGGTTACCAATAAACGAATCGCTTACTGCCTGAAAGTTCTCACAGATGCTCTGTTTTGAAGTGTTATTTCACAAACCTCAACAATGAGTTAAGTTTATTGCGGCAATCAAGATCCAAGGTCAACTCCTAATGAGTTTCCGTTGCTTTCGTTCAGCTCCATGGGAAGTTTTTTGGAACAACACCCTTTGTAACAACACCCTTTGTAATAAAGGAACAAATATCCAGTCCAAAAACATCCAATGAAGCACAAAATCATTAAACATACGCAGATATTGAGCTGGAAAAGAATCCCCTTTTTCAGGCGTTAACCCAAATCCACTTTGATTAAATTGGAAAGGAACTAACGAAATTACTTAATTTTCAACATAGAAGATAATCGAAAAGTTGTTTCAAACTGGAAAGCTGATTTGAGCTGGGAAAACTGTTTTTTTTTCAGACGCCTCGATAAATCTTCAGGACTTTTTTCTTATTATGTGAAAACCATTAAATCAGAATTTTGTATATTTTAGCAAAAACATTGAAATACTCAAAGGGCAGGTTGAAATTTCAATACCTCGCACTGATGCTAGAAGTTTCGCTAAGTTGGAGTGTTGAGGGCACTTAATGCTAATCCAAAGCACATTTTGAGACAAACTTGCCACTTGTTTTTTCCATACTCAAATTTTATGCTGGATAATTGAATAGATAGATTGTTCATTGAAAAAAAATAAGGGCAACAGATATTTTCTTATTCAGTATTCAATATTTCAATAATTATCATTTAAAATCCGTGCAGCTCAATATGTTATTTTCTTCGGTCGGGTTTGTTGTCATAACGTGTTGTCATATCATGAATCTGGTTCCAGACGTGTACGCAGAGGTGTCCTTGAGGATGTTACTCTTGCCTCTGTTGTTGATCCTCTTAAAACACTTACTACACTTCGGATAATGGGCACACTGATCCATCAAACACGAACCACCTGCAAAACATGAGTGATAGTTTTTTTTATCATTCTCAGTTTTCTAATGTTTTAATCAAAATAGAAAGCGCAAAACTCCAACTGAAATCTGTGAAACAATTTTTCATTGATGATATGTCACCCAATTTCATGCCCGCATTGACAAATATTCAATTGCAACAAATTTTTTGAGAACATTTTACAATCGCCCAAAAATGATTGATTGAAATTTGGATTTGGACCACTATTAAGTTCTAAAGATTTGGACCATCATCAAGTTTCTGGAACTTAAGACAAAGTTCCAAGAAACGGTGATTTTGAGCATCGTTATTGGTCAAAAACGCGGCTTTCCTGATATTCAGATGGTTGCACAAATTAATTTTCGATATAAAAGTTAGCAGTTTTATAATAAATAGCTTCGTTCAATTCCGTTTGACGAAAAGCACAATGCCAACATTTTTGCATCAATTATAAAAGAAGAAAAAACTATAAAAACTCACTCGAACCGTTTTTAAAATTGGACTCGAACATATTTCAAACATATCCGGGCAAGGTTGGCTTTCTTACCAAAAACGGGTTTCAATTCCGATGAGTGTGTACCTGGTCTAAGTAGGTGAAGTGTCTCTGCCTTGTCTCTGGCCTGCTTGATCATCATCTGTTGCTGCCACTCAATGTCCAGATGTTGCTGCACTTTCTGGCGTTGTAACTGCTTAGCCGCGTGCTCCTCACGCAATCTAGGCAAATAACAGATTCAAATACAGTCCCCTTTTTCTGGGAAAAATCGGAGCAAAACATTTTTTGATCAGACTATTCGAAAGTAAAAACAATAAAACGCGAAAAAAGCCTATTTTTGGTATGACCCCGAAACTTGTCCCAGAAATTTGACCCCGAAACTTGTCCCAAAAATTTGAGCCCGAAAGTACTGACAATTACCGAACATAAGGACAGATCAAAAATATATTTTTGGTATGACCTCAAAAGGGGCTCTAATAATTAATTAAGACCCCAAATATTGGAATAAAATTATTGTTTGTTATTTCCTGAAAATATTCGAATAATTTGGGGGAGTTGTGATAATATAGCTTGTCATCTGCTTAAAAGTAGATACCTCCAAGAGCAATATTCGATGTAGCTCTTTAAAAATCATCGCAATGGTGATATCATTTTAAAAAATACTTGCAAATTTCGTTGATGTTGGTATTTTATTTCAACGTCCCGCATTGTTGAACTCAGAAATTGAAAAACAAACAAAAAATGAATTAAATGAATTTTGGCCTCAATATTGACTCATGAAACTATGGACGCTCTTTCTTTCTTAAAAAACGAACTCACTGTGTTTTGTTTCTGTTGAGCATGTTCTGCTGCTCATATTCGCTCATGAGTTCGTCGATCAACTCATTCTGTCTCTTCATAATGGCCAAATCCAACTGCTCCTCTGCCAGCTTCTTCGCCTTCTGTCGCTTGCTGGTCTCCGACTCCTCCTCCGGACAGAAGATGGCAGCTGGTCTGTCTGGCGCAAGAGGCAGCTGCGGAATTTTAGTCAGCACCTGAATTCAAAAAATTGCATGTAGTTCTTAAGCAGGGGCACAACAGCGGTTCGCCGTGATGAGCTGTACAGCTCGTATGTTGGTCCTGTCCCTCGTGGACAAATGAAAAAAAAGTAAAATTTCTTTGAATTAGAAAAAATTATTTTAGAATTTTCAAAGCATTAACAGAAAAACAGTCACTTTAGAAAACAATCTGTTAGATTTTGCCTCAAAGATTTGTACGTTTGCATGAAAAAAAATTGCAGGGTTTCTTGGACAAAAATTGGCTTATGAGGTTTTGTAGATGAGGTTTATGAGAACAGATTCTGAGTTTTCAAATCTATTTCTTTTATTCAATGTGCTCATTATTTTATTATATGTGCTTATTCAAAGCCAAACAAAAATAGGTTGCTTTGTATTGGCATAGAATGCAACAAAAAAGTAGATGTACTTTTTGCAAAATTTGTGAACTTTTTCTGTATTCCACGGTTGTTTTGAAAGAGGCTCCAAAGTATATAATTATACCCTTCAGTTCACTCATAGCTTGAAAAACGAACTCGATGAGACCAGTTGTTCTCGAAAATGGGGGGCGGAAATAAGCTATGTTCATTCGGACAAAACAGTGGACGTCAGCTTATCGGTTGTGTCTTCTTACCTGGTAGTCTAAACTCTCTTTCATTTTCTGCTTTTTCTCGATGTCATTTGAGTTTTGATTCCTTCTCTGAGCAGACAACCTGAATCAGAGGCACTCTAAGTCGCAGTATTTTGATTAGCAAAACACTAAGAAATAAATTATTCCAACGAACTCTGAAGTCTTTTGCAACGTATCAAAGAACACGTATATTAATGATGCTGTTTGAAACAGTGTGTGTCAAATTTTGGAAAAAAAAATAAAAAATAATTTGGTTTTTATTACAGTTGAGACCATAAGACCATAAAAATTACCCCTTTCTCAAGACCATTACCCAGGGTTTGAATTAAAGTATTAAAGGAGTTTTATTGCCCACAATCATATCGTGTTATCCAATGATTTTAGATCATGATTTTTTTTCATGAGAACTTCATTTTCAAGAGTTTTTTCATTTGTAGATAATGAGAAATGGTCCATGTGACGAATTTATTCACTGCTCTTCCCGTTTTTTCAGTAGAAGCATATCTTAATTGAAAAACTTGCAGACTTACTCATTTTTTGGACAAATAAAAACGCACCAAAATCAATTTTCTCAACAAAGATAGGCGGATACTGTGCAATTGTCACAGAATGTTCTGACCATAGTCTTAGAAAACGTCTTAGAAAATGTACTTCTTCTCGCTCAAACAAGTGTCGTTTTTTCTGCGTGGTGATATAGAAAGCTCTGGACAAAAAAAATACAACTTAAGCATATTCGATAGGCATAGTAAAACAGGCACACTATACAAAACTTTTAAAAGAAAAATGACAGGAAAAACACAAAAACAATTATTAAAAAAATACAACTTTTTTATTCAATTTTTTTTAGAGTTTTTTTCAAAATTGCGTTAATAGAACCTCAAAAACATGATTTATTCGAGTACAACTAAAATAAAGCATAAATAAGCCATTATAACGGACTAAAATGAGCATGATCGCTCGCTGTACTAGCTCGAAAATAGACAAAAATCGAAATATTCAAACAGGTTTTTCTCCACACTGAGGAAAATTTTTGAATCTGAAAAAGATTTAATATGGTATATCACTCGACCCATTCCGATGATTATTTATGGTATCTATTTTTGCGTGGAAAAAAACTAAATAAATACATAAATAAAATTGAAGATAGTTTGCAGAATGCTTATAACAAAATTTACACAAAGAATATCGAATAACCCAATATCGAAAGATAGTTGATAAAAACCCTGTTTTGGTGATTGAAAAACTGTCTAATTGACGACTCTATTTCTTAAATTCAATAAATGAGCGCTAAAGTATTGTTGTCAATGCGCAAAAACAGAAGAAGCGGCTGAAGTAACAGAAGAAGAAGAAGAAGAAGAAGAAGATGAAAAAGAAGAAGAAGAAGAAGAAGAAGAAGTAGAAGAGCAACAACAACAGCAGCAGCAACAACAACAACAACAACAACAACAACAACAACAACAACAACAACAACAACAACAACAACAACAAAACCAGATGAATAAAAACAATTCTCTCATTACCGATGTGTCAAGTTGCCAATTAAAATTAATTACAGATTAATTTAGCAAGTGACTGAGTGAGACAAATGACAAGAAAAGCAAGATTTACAGCATACCTGTAGACAAGATGCACAGTAAAACCTGCTTGAAATTTTTTAATAACATCGAATCTCTTAGTTGAATGAAAATACGAAAAAATCGAATTCAAAAAGAAGAAACATGAATTTAGTAGAATAATCAAAGTCAATTAAACTAAGCGCATCATAAAAAAATTATATATCCGCATAAAAGTTTTTGTCGAGGCAGAGAGGTGTTTTGCTTTAAAAAAAGCTAAAGATTTCTTCGGAAAAGTTTTTTTTTGAAAATCCGAAAAAGTGGACCAATCACTAGCAGACTTCTGACTGTTTTCTTGTCTATTGCCTGATTTTGAAACTACCATGTCTGCGTCCATGTCTCCATTTGCTGCGGTATGATAAAATTTTTTGTACAATTTTTGATTACTGTGGAAGTAGAACAAAATCTTCTATTAAAAAAAAATTTAGAAAAAGTTGTTCTAATCCACACAATATCAGAACTCGTGGCCTCGAAGACTGTTTGAATTTTGTGTTTGCAATTTTTACAGAAAGAGTAAGAAGTTTCAATAACCAGGAACCAAACAACTTCAATCATCAGTTTTCGGATAATTACTGGCAAGCTAATTCTGACCTGACATACAGTGCTGATTTAAGTTAACCGGACAAAATATACAAAACTCGAATTTTCAAACGCAATTTTCCCAAATTGGGTTAAGATTAGACAAAAAATGAAGAGAACAAAAGTTGCTTAAAATTTCGCCAGAATTAATATTGGGCAATTTTTTCTCTGCAATTTTTTACAGAAGTGTATCTCATTTTTTGTTAAATGTGTCTCAAAAATGACACCCACTGTCGTCTGAGTTGTTGTTGTTGAGTGGCGTCTAGTCTGAACTGCTGTTCACTCTCCCCCTCCCGCCGTCTCCTCTCCCCGCTCATCTGTCGTCTCAGATCACTCCTGTATTGCTCCCTCACCCCTCTGTACACTTGGGCTGTGTGGGGCCTCTGCTGCAGCAGAAACATCTTCTGCAAACACACAGAACATAAAATTCGAATGACACTAAATTAAAACAGTTTCTTCTAGAATTTTAAGTTCAGAAAACACTTAAATTTTGATGCACACTTGCCCGAAAATGCACATTTAAGTAATAAAGTATATTTTTTTGAAAATTAAGTTATTACAATAGTGTAAAAAAGCAGAGATAAAGCAATTTTATGATAAGAATTTTGAGAAAAAAAAATCCAAAATAAGACATAATTTTGAATACTTTTTTGGTGCTGAAATCTAGAATTATAGCACTAATTCGTTAATAAATCATTTCAGGAATATTCGAACCATTTATTCGGCTGAACAAGAAAAAAATCGGAACTCGGGAAATATACCTCTCCGTCTCGAGTCGAGTTGTTGGTCTTGAGCAAAATAAACTTCGCTCCAAATTTCAGAATTATAAGAATTTGGCTCTGGTTGAAATCTTCTCGGTCAACCAAATAGCGAAAAAATATACACTCTTATGACAAGACAGACTATCGTAATAAATCAACATCTAAAATCATTTACGTTTACAAATTTGAAATTTTAACCTTAAATTTAGATGTAAAAGTTTATAAACTACGGTATCACATTACGAGGTCAAACTGTGCACTGTATGTTCCTGGATTCCAGAGACAAGTCTTAAAACATGTTAAAATTTTGTCGGAACGGATCAAAGGAAATTGAAGAAGAAAAGAAGAACATGCCTGGTATGGTGGTTTCTGTGCCTGGATCTGCTTCTGCGCTTGAGCCACTCCTCTGTTAAAATTAGCATTCAGAATCTCCATCTTGCGTCTATGTGCGTCTCTATCATCTTGCTGAAAACCATGAGTTGTAATTATACGAGAAATTAGACGCGTCTTCTTAGACGCAATTTTGATATTTAACCGAGGGAGTTTCAGTACTGCCTTTTTCACAAATCACGTTGAAGACACCAGTTAATGCGGGCTCAAGTTCTCAAAAATATATATATGTTTTGTACTATCTGTACTCGTGCAAAAAATTTTTTTAAGCTCATGACTTTCGCCAACACTTTTTTTTAAGTTGATGCGATAGGAACTTGAAAAACACTTAATTCCAATCTTGAATTATTTTTTGGTGGATTCAAATGGCTGTAAGACTTTTAAAAGAAATGAGAAGCGGCGTCTTTTTGCACGCAAATTTAAGTGCTACGACAATTTGGAATCATCGTTACAAAAGTCATATTGAAAATAACCGTTAATGCAGAAAGAAACCTTTGAGAAAAAACGCGCAAATTGTGATAGGTATTCAAGTGCTGAAAAACCATTTCAACCTCGAGTTAATATTGTTTTTGAACGCGTCCAGACAATTCGGCCAAAGAAAATTCAGCCGATTTGAAATTCAGACAATTCAGTCAAAAGAATGCAGACAATTCAGCCAGTAAAAGTGACCGCAGCAGTCGCGCTAACGCGTTGCGAATTGTATGTATCTTTTTGGCTGAATTGTCTGAGTTTCAAATTGGCTGAATTGTCTGTGCGCTTTTTTGAATTGTAATTTCAAATAGCCATCAAACGTTCTCTTAAAGATCTTTTCCGAATCCAACAGCTAACCTGCTGTTCTGACACTTTGTTTCTGAACAGGTTGTACTGTTCTAGAGTTCGATCCATCGCTTTGTTGTGCGCCGATCTCTCCCGAGCACAGCTCGCGTTCTCGTTCTTGTCGCCCCGGTGAAAACACGCCAGACATACTTGATCATCCTGGAATGAAAACTTAGCTGAGCAAACAGGATTCAGAAGTAATGTATATAATGCTTATTACTGTTATTACCATGAAGGTGGTTAATACCATTGACGTAGTTAAGCAAAAATTTTGGCTGCAAGAAAGGGTAGTATACTTTTGCTAATAACTTTTGTATATCAACTTTTGATACGTTTTTCTAAAAGTTTTGACCAAAGGGTGGGGGTATGGAGCAGCAACCAAAAACGTTACATTGGTTTAAACGGAACTTTCAAAATTATTATTTTATTTAACGTTTCTGCGATTCAAGGAGGATCTATGAAAGGCCTTGCAGCCTATCTAAGCATAGTCCATTTCTCTTATTTCCCTACATTTCAGACTTCTTCAGAAGTTCTTTTGTTGAGCGTGGCTCTTTTTTAGCGCCTCAAAGTCGTTTTTTTTTGCTTCAAGAATTTTCACATGGTACCACTATTGCAGCCGCAGTCGGTCAGACGGTGATAGACCTGAAGCTAGAGGTCAAGTGAGAGCTCGTCCTCACACACTATCATTGCCTTGGCAGGGGATCGATTACACGATCTATCGATCACGAAGTGAACGGTTTACTACTATGATAAGTGCCTCAAAATTATAGCTGAAAACTTCTAACAACCCCATGCCATCATGGATTCAACAAAAAGTTTTAAGCACGCCATCGATTGATAAATAGCCACAAACCTAAACCAACTTAAAAGTGATAGAGTTTTTTTTAAATTTGTTTCAAATCTTATGGTAATTTCAGTAGTCTGATCGGAAGACAAAATTTCTACCTGGAAGCTGGACCTGCTTTTTCTACCCGTCGGAACAGCACTTTGAGGTCTCTTCAGTCGGTCGTGCTGCACTTGAAACGAGGATTTCCCAGCTACCGGAGAAGAAACTCCACCGTAGCTGAGTGTACTGTGGACCTCGTTGTCAATCAGAAAAGAAGGATTCCTTTTCAAGCAGTTGTTGTTGGCGTTGGCGTTGCCGTGAAAGGAGACTAATTTCCGGTTATTGTTCAAGTTGTTCGCCAGAATAACCATCTTTAAACACTATTTTAAGAACAATAGTTTTGCTACCCGTTATAGATTTTTTTCAAGTATGTTGATTTATGTTGCCGACGTTTGTTTTGTTCAACCAGGGCCATAAAAATGCGCGGTTTGATTGGTAAGCTGCGACATGTTTTTATGGATTAGCTCGAGGTGCACGTTTCTATTGGCAATAAACGGTCATGCTTGAGGATTAAACAGATTTTTCATTATTTTGCATTACATTAGTAAAACCTGGAACTGTAAATTTGTTGAAAACAGTCGTGTTATTTTTTGTTTGAACAAGGACATCCCATTTTTTGGTTTGAAATGATTTGAAACAGTTATCTGAGCCAATAGGCTGAACAATTTTGTAATTAAAAGGATCCTCCGGGACCTTCAGAATAGTTCTTGTCTAGGTACGAAGTTCGGGAAATTTATTGAAAATCTAATAGCAACTGAATTGTAGCCAACAAATAGTAGGAAAGCCTTAAAGATCAAGTTAACCAAAAAAGCTGATTTCTCAGGATTTTTTTCAACTTTTGAAGAGGAAAGCATCTACTAAGTGAAGCTTTTTGATTAATCAGAATCTTTCCTTTTCTACAGTTTTTTGATAAAATTAACTTGTTTTGAAAAAAAATACATTGATCAATGTATATAAATTTTGTGAGGAAAAATCAAGTCAGTTTACTGTTTAATTTTTCGGCAATTTTAAAGTAATAAGGGCTCCTTAAAAATATACTCGGCCCGTCTCAAAATTTTTCATCACAGGGGTAACAAATCCTTGTTTTGATTTGAAAATGTACAGCATGTCCCTTCATGAAAAACTAGATAAAACATGGTCAAGTCAAGTATAATTTTGAGTTATTTGAAAAAAAAAATTAAGAGAGAAGAATTTTTCTTTAGCGTTTTTTTTGTGAAAAAAAATCGTTATTTAGGTCAATTGTTTGAAATCTGATAAATTTGTATAGATTAGCGCGCAGAATCATTGTCAAAAACGACAGAACTAGCGGATAAATCAGGCAGTGAAAGTTTGGAGTTATCAATTTTCAGTTTCAGCAAATCAAAGCAAAAGAAACATTGATTCCATCTTTTTTCAGAGAAAAACTTAACAACTATACTTTTAGCACATGTTTTTTAAAATAAAATCAGAGCTGATATACGTTATCCAAACAAAACGAATGAAACCTGAAACTTAAATTGGGTTTTTTTTTTCAAAGTTGTTTGACTTTTAACAAAAAAATTATCAACACAAAAATGTTACAGTACCTTTTTTTGCAAAATTTGGGTCAAAAAAGTATTCCAAAAGCCACTCTTTTAGGTTTTTTAGTCATTCAAATATTATATAAAGTCATTATATATACTAACAATATATATAGTCAATCGAATTTTCAATACAATCATGAAAGGGACAAGACCAAATATTCGGTGTATACGTTTTGCTTCTCCGTCAGCCTGGTCACCAAGATGCTTAAACATTTTCCTGGTATTTGCGAAGCCGCCGGTGGCAAAGTTGCTACACCCCCTACTCCTGCTCTTTGCGTCTACAAAATTTCTATGTTCTTGTGAACTCTTCTAAAATCGGTTACTAGTGCTGTTCTAGAACTCATGCCGCGGTGACGGCCATCGCACATGTCCTGTGCGTGAGTATAAAAATGCTATCGATTAGTATTATGCTTTATGAGTATTCACCAAGCATTATAAAATATGATTCCACTACTCTCCTTTTCTGTCTCTAAATCACATGTTTTTCTAGCAAGTTTTATGTTTTTTATATTTACAAATTTTCCTTTCCAATGTGGGGAAGCCCTACCCCCACTCCCGTGACAAAACTATCCATCGATCGTATACCTGATATTAACTTAAGGTTGGACGCAGGAATGAACACTGGCCCTTCTGGAGCTGCCCTGGAAAGAGTATCTATGTCATTCTTGAGGCGATTCACATTTTCGCGGTCTGTGTCCTGAATCGTGACACTGGTTTCCTCAGGGTCTGACATCTTTTCATTTAAGCATTCCAAGACGCGCAGACTCGTTAATTTTTGCTGGTATAACTGCTGTTGCTCGTCGTCAATATCCACTTCTGGTTTGACCGATCATCGAGCCACTCATTGTCCTCATATTCGACGATGTCTACTTCCAGTGACGCAGTTATTTCTTCTAGACCCATTAAATTTTCTGCTATCCTCTTCAGGTCTGTCCTAACCACTTTGAACTCATCCCCGTATTGACTACACTTTGTTGCGGGTCTTTCCCTGTCACTGTGTCGGGTCTGTATCGAAAAGAGTAGATCCCGTTCCATGTTCATGGGAACCTCTCTCTGCTCGGGGTCGTCTCGATCGTCTTCTGCATAGGGCAAGGTTTTTTATCTGCCCTGATTATTTCATTAGGATGCAGGTCCAATGGTGGGTTTGTTCCTTTTCCAGTACCTCATTACCATCGTTCTTTTCGACGGTGCCCTTCACATTGACTTCGCAAGCAAGCTCCATCTATAAAAAATCACCGTTCTCCATGTTTTCAGGCACACACCAGTCCTCTGTGGATGGGTCATGGGGTTTGGTGTTCTCGAAAAGCGCAACTCGGCCTGTGCTGAGCCTGTAAAATTGTCTCTTTTGATGTACTTCCATTATCATAAACTGACTGCCCCCTCAATTTATTCAGGAGCTTCCTAGTATTTTTCGACTGAGTGAGATTTGTCTTGTCATAATTTTTTCTCTGCCTCGCCTGAGCTTGTTACGTGTTGCGTCTTGATCATTTCTTCTGTGGCAATGTCTTCTTGCCTTCATACACAGGGTAAAGGAATTTTAAAGGCAGAGCTTTTTCAGGCCTTTGCAAATGTCTATCATAATCAGTCATGTTTCGGGAACAATAAACCTCAAAATTGACACCAGAATCCGATTTTGTTTCTCTACTAAGCCATTCGTCTTTGTAAAATGAGCCTGGGCTACCTGAGAACAATTCATCAGCTCCTTAGTGTGCTCAAATACAAAGGCATTTCCATTGTCCGACTTGAATGTCATCGGGAATCCGTTTTTAGCTGTCCAAGTTTTAATCAGATGATCGCAAGTCTCTTCAGCTGAGGCCATTATGCATGGCACAGCTTCTGCGTACTTTGTGAAGTGATCACCAGGTCCTGATGTAACCACTATCTGTCATACGTATCTTCTGATGATCTATCTGCACCACTTAATGAAACTCGGAATGACATGCCTTCTTCATCCCAGGCCACTCAAATCGTTTCGAGAATCTCCGGTACGCCTTTTCAATCCCTTGATGCCCGATCTGATCATGTGACCTGAATACTAGTTCCGTTTGATAGAGTTGCGTCAAATTTATTGCGCTGTCTTTAAAGAACTTTTTCCTCCTCTCCCTCTGCAGGTAACAATAAGTAAGCCATATTCAGATTTAACCGACCATGTAATAATGCATGTAATAAAGTCTCAACATTTTTGCATGTAATATTGTCTAAAGATTGGGCTTCTCGTCATAAGTTCATTTCTTTTCTCTATTTAAAAGTCTGAGAGTCTGTATCTTGCCTTCAACTATGTCCTCATGACCCGAAGTTGACTATTCAGCTCAATGGGCTGATTTGAGTCATCTTTCATCTTGACACACCAAATTTTTTCCAATGACTTTGCCTCCAGTTGGAACGGCTCAAGTTCAATCCCGACTGCTTTATTTTGCTGTAACAGATTCAATGAACGTTTCGACACCGCTATAATGTCCAAGTCATCTGCCGCGTTATCAAAAACTATTTCACTCGAGAACAGTTAGCGATCGCTATCAGGGCCTTGATACACCTCCCTGTCAAAGTCTCTTGCAAGAGTCTCCACCAACCATGTTGATATGCCAATTCTGATCATTCAGATCAATGCTCGAGTTACTTTCTGAGTACGTGTCAGCCTCCAATTTCTTCAAGATCTTTTCAGCAGTTAACTCTACCGTGGAGCACGTCTCCATAGCAGAATTTGATGTACTTGATCTACTCATATATTTGAAATCCCCGGACAAAGTTTGGTCCACCGGTCTTTGTCCATCTAAGTCTCCATTTCCTTCAGTGTCCGACTCCCCTGACAAACTCTCTTATTCCGAGTGTTTCGATTCTTCTTCACTCAGTCATTGGTGGTTTTATCTATAATTTCTCCTTGAACATCAACAATGCCGTCGCTGCCGTCCATTTAGGATCGACTGTGCTTACCTTTTTTCCAACAATCCACCTAGCATCCTCATCAACTCCGGTGTGACCTGCACTGCTTTGTATAGTAATGAAAGGCTGTTCAAGTTCATGCGAGAGAGCTCCTGTTGATTCAGGCTCGAACATAGCAACAGATTCAAGGGGAGCGGGTCCTTCTTGGATAAAATCTTAATCTTTGCCGCCAACTCATATAAAATCAGGGTGTGTTGGGTAGGATGTCCTAATTTGTCCAGCCATCGCATCAAAATAATGGCTTCATAGATGTCTTTGCCTGGAAACGAGAACCCTTCTTTCATTTCCTCCTGATTGGCTTGCTTCTGTTCCAATGTTTCATAAAATTCAGTCTTCTTGCCGAGGCTGTCAACATTCTGGTGTTTGTCACGCCTCTGTGCGCAATTATCATGTGATAGCCATCCCGGCTAACTTTGATCTCTCGAGTACCTTTTCAACCAGGATAAGGCTCGATTGTCCACTCGCAGCTTAAGGGGAGCGCTCCCTAAATAGGTGCAATATTTCTCAACGATTGCGTCCACTGCAAACTTTTCTAGTTTTGGCGCACTGTACTTCCAATAATTGCGCAGTACATTACTGCCATATGCAATGGGCAGCGACTTTTTTCCTATTCCAATCTTTTTCTGGATGCAGTACTCCAGTAATGCCAGCAACAGAGGCATTAGTGTCGAGAACGTAAATGCCTTTCTCTGTGGGCACGCCTAGCGCTGGTGCCTCGCACAACTCCCGCTTAAAGTTCTCGAAAGCTTCCGGAGCTCGTTCATTCCAATTAAACATTTTCCTTTGTAGCGCATTAGCTGCGGCATCGGGTAGGCTTTGCCTGCGTAAACATTTTTGAGTTCTTGATTAAAAATCGCAAATCAAAGAAAGCTCATATCAGCTGGGTTGCTGTTCTGGGGGCCTTTCAAGTTAAGACGGCCTCCACCGCAACAGGATCCGACCTTAGGCCATACATATCTACCATTATCTCCAGGTACTTAATCGAATCCCTGAAAATCTTGCTTTTCGTGTGTTTGCCTTTCAAGCCAATT